AGAGCGGGAGCCCTCGTTCTTCCCGACGGCGGTCGTGCCGCCGGTGCTTTCCAAAGGAGCCCTTGCGCCGGGAGCGAGCCCTCCCGTACGAGCCCTCGCGGGAAAAGCACAACAAGGGTGCTGATTCGTTCTTCTTCCCCGCGGGTGGCACCGAAAGGGCGCTCCCCTTCCGCGCAGGTGGCACCGGAAGGACAGAGATACGTTCCTCCATACTTTCGAAGGGCCTTGGTTGTTATAAAAATGTCCGCCCGCCGTTACCACGTTGACAGCCACGGTAGCTCACTGGTCAAATAACCGGCCTAAGAACAAGCTAACTGGCTAACTAAACGGCCTATCGAGCCCATTGGCCATCTAAACGGCTTCGTTACTACTACCTATCTCGCAATCTAAACGGACAGATTGAAATTCCGCCATTCCGAGTGCGGTTAAACGCCATGGCTTCCGCTAGCTTCAGCTATTAGCCCTCTAATACCACATCCTTCTTCTTGAATTAACAAAGTACAAAGTGTGTTAAACCAAGGACATCCGTTGTAGTCTAGTCGGTTAGGATATTCGGCTCTCACCCGAAAGACCCGGGTTCAAGTCCCGGCAACGGAATGTCCATTTTGCTTCTTTGCCCCTAGGCTCTTGTTTTTGCTCTCCTCAACGTTTCCTCAATAATGAATGGAAGAAATGCTTCTGTCAAATGCGGTCTGGATATGCACACTACTGGTGCACAATGCACGTGAGATGATAAATAAAGGCATCACAACTAGTCATCCGCACCTCTTTCCTTGGAATTGCACCTCATTCCTCGAGGAATGCATATCATCTTCACACACTTATGACATGACAGCCTTGAACAGTGCCAATGTGTGCACTAGTATTGTAGTTATGTAGCCATGGTTGGTGTAATTATCCTAAGAAGCCGAGGTTGGGCTATTGAATTCTCCAAAATGCGCAAATACGAGCAGGAAATTTTCCATTAATCGTGAAGCTATCACAACAAATGGGCAGAACCTCCATAACGAGCCAACAAGTCCAGCTCAAGAGAATTGAAGTCCTCGTGAGACCAGTCACAACCACATTCCACTGCAGACGGGGTTTCCTGCACCGACAACTGAAATACTAGGAACCCTGAAACCCGGAGAAACCGAAATGCACACGCAAAACCGCCAAAAACCCTCCTGAAAGCTCGCAGCAGCAGCTGAAAGCCTGCTATGACGCCAGCTCACATCCAGGCCAGGACTTTCAAAAGAGTGACAGTCCTCATGACGAGATGCCGAGAGATCGGAACACTTGACGAGCCCTCTTCTCCGACATCGGCCATTGTGACGCCTCGAGTCACCGAAGATCGTCGGCACGACAAAATCTTCGACTAACGAAACCGTCGAGCTGGAAAACTGGCACATCTCACGCGATCCGCCACCAATCCTCTTCCCCAGACAAACAAACGAAAAACATACGCAGAACTCCGTAAAACCCCCAAGTCTACTCAGCAGTAAAAACCGAAAATAGGCAGCTCCTGGAAGAGAAAGGTAGACGCGGATTGAAAACATGAAGATGCGGCAGAAGTGAAGCGTTGAAGCGATGAAGCGTAGCTAGGAAGACCAAGCTTCCTCACTGCGCCCCCTGTGGGCAGTCACGGGCGATGTGGCCGGGCTGGTTGCACGTGTAGCAAGTACGGGGAGCACCGCCACCAGCGCCGCCGCCCATGCCAGGCGTGGGGCAGTCGCGAGCAAGGTGTCCGGGCATGTTGCAGTTGTAGCACACACCGGGTCCACCGCCGAACCGTCCGCCACCGCGGCCGCCGCCGAAGCGTCCGCCACCACGGCCGCCGAAGCCGCCGCCGCCGAAGCGGCCGCCACCGCCGCCGTAGCCGTCGCGCCTGGGAGCGCCCTTCACGTAAGAGCCAGCCGGGCCGGTAACGTTAACGGCCTTGGTGCGGCCGTCCTCGCTGGTCTCGATGGTGAACTCCACGACCTCGTTCTCGTCGAGGCTGCGGAAGCCCTCCGCCTTGATGCTGGTCTGGTGGACGAAAAGCTCCTCTCCGCCATCATCGGGAGTGATGAACCCGAAGCCCTTGGTACTGTTGAACCACTTCACCTTGCCGGTCTGAACGCCCGGGGTGGCAGCGACATCGGGAGCAGCCATTGTCGAAAAGGTGAAGGGTAAGGTTCAAGAGGGAAAGGTGGGATGGCTCTGAACAAACAAGGCTTGAAATCAAAGCCTGTGAACAAGAATGAAGAAAGTGAGAGCAGGTGGGGGTTTTCAAGTGCTGCGGGTTCGAGAGAAGGGAGGTGAGAAGGAGCAGGGTTGGTTGGAGAGAACTTGGTTTGGAGGGCTCGGAAGAGAGGAATCACAGTCCATCGCACGGCTTTCCAACCAAGCCGATCTCAATGCTGTCGGGATCTGTTAAGCGCGTCTCGTACTGAAGAGGAAACAGTTCCAAAATAAACTGACATTAGATGCCTTATCAAGATGAGCGGTTCGATTCTATGGATCTGGTATCTCCTCTTCGATGAAATCTTGTGAACCTCTTCCCGCCACTTTTCCTGTGGTTGGAGTGCACCCCTCCACAAAACCCCGGGGTTTCTGAACAATGGGTTTCGTGCTGATCGGAGTTACTCTTCCTGCGTCCTCAACATCTAGCCGTTTATTGACGTCCTCTGCATGTGATGTCGGTTGGGTGCGCAGAAAAGGGCAACCTGCGAAGATATTTTTTGCCGCCGTGGCTTCCCCAGATTCTCTCATCTATAATGTGCCGTCAAATTGCTGACTTGTGAAGATCCAACGGCAGGTCACTGCTGGATTAACTTTTATCGGCCAACCCAGGCATTACGACTGGCTCAATGTCAGGCATATCTCGGTGCAATCGCATCGCACTAGGGTAATTACCTCCTGGGTAACCAACTTCAAGCCTGCTGACGTCCGCAGTCCGCCACGTGGCTCGATGGTACCCATCAGATTATTCGATCCCTTTCGTGGTACCCATTTTCCCTTCGTGGTACCCATCTTCCCTGCGTGGTACCCATCAATCGAGCTGTACACCGTACAACAAGGGTTTCAATGCGTTTTTCAGTATATTGTCTTAACTTTTACAATCTCTTAGTGAACCCTTAAACGTAAATGTTGGAACGTGTCTTACACTGGACAGAGTGCAACCTGGAAAGAAATCAACTCCCTTTCTCAAATCCCACGTTACCTTCATACCCTCGTAAGCTTACACTACTGAGCAATAATTAGCATGAATCTCGCAACCATGTTTTACAGCGCTCAAACGGTTATTCGAACGCAATTCATAGACCCGCAGAACATGTGCCCCCATAGCTAAATAGAAAAGCAGAAACAAATAATATGAGAATTCTTGTGTTTTTTTGAAACAAAAAAGACAAAAAATCAAGTTTACCTTAAATCATTATACATATTATGTGTAAGATGATTGTGTGTTATATCAATTGTTTCTATTTAGTTTGATGAAATATATAAGATTTCCGTTATATTTTAGCACGTTATTTTGTGGATTTCTTGTATTCTAAAGAATGTTTCCTTTAAGCATGTTGCTCTTTTTCTACCCTAAATTATAGTTCATGCGTTTGATATATTGACTCGATTAGTGGCATTTTGTGCTTCTGATTCTATTATACTTGTAAACGTTCGTACAATATACTGAAAAAAGGCATTGAAACCCTTGTCGTACGGTGTACAGCTCGGTTGAAATGTTGCGGTACCAGTCAGGGAACTTGCGCACAGTTGATGGGTACCACGCAGGGAAGATGGGTACCACGAAGGGAAGATGGGTACCACAAAGTGGATCGGATGATCTGATGGGTACCATCGAGCCGCGTGGCGGACTACATACGTCATCGGGCTCGATGTTGGTTACCCAGGAGGTAATTACCCATCGCGGTACTCTGCCAGCATGCAAAGCAGCAAGCCTACCCCAAACTGCTCTGCCTCAGGTAATCTGGGGAGGCAAAAAAAACTGGAGTTCTTAAAGCTGCGGTCTACATTCGAAAAGGTTAAGGTTATATTCGAAAATGTCTTATTTTTGGAGGCATTTCCGGTGCACACCCTAGGACGCATGCTGATTGGGGAACGAAATGACCCTTTAGCTAAAATAAGGGCGCGAATGATTCAAACAGAACTGGCGAATCCCGCCAGTTTCGTGAAAGGTTCGGGTGGGGGTAATTATTTCGGGAGGAGAGGGTTGTGTTGGCGATTTCGCCACAACGTGTAACCAATCTGGGTTGGGGAGGAGATTGGCGCGAAAACTAGAAGCCAATCCTGTTTCGCCCAATTTTCAGAGGTGAGGTTGTGTTGTCACAAAGCAGTAAAGGTTGGAGCGAAGGTCAGTGCTACCGTGTTTTCAAGTGATAAACCTAGGCCTCCCGCAGGAAGTATGTAGGCGACAGCTTTAATTGTACCCAATCAATCGCCAATACGTGGTGAGGCTACATTTTGCCATGACCAAAATTTGCACACCCAACATTGTGGGGACCACCTGCCCAGGAAGGTACCCCACGAAAACTCCATACCTGATGACCTTGACTGCCCCGTGCCTGGACCAAACCCGCAAACACCAAACCGAGTGTTTTGGTGTGAGAAGCTTTCTCTCAACGGGGCTCAGACAGATGCAGAACATATTCGTATGGTTAAGTACGGTTAAGGCTCGGATATGGAAACCAAACCACGCCTAAGGCGTACCTAACCGCACCATAGTCTAAGTAAGAAATCGTACACCCACGTCTGGTTTGGTGCTTCTTCCTAGGCACTTGAGATTTTTGCCCTTCCTACTTCTACCACTGGATTCTCTTTCCCCACTCTTTTTCTCCAGCAGAATTTCGCTTCTGTTGGGTTTGGGAGTTCACTGCTCCTAATAGCAGTGAGAAAACGTGGTTGCATCAAGAGTAACAAACCACGAGTGGAGTTGGAAGTTGTAGCAGCAGGATCAGATTAAGACGCAGAGGCTGTCTGCTTTATTTGGGTGAAGTTAATCTCGCGAAGCACAACCTTTCGCCATGGCGGCCAATGACGTTGATGCGGCCGCAGCCCCAGCTGCATCGGGTGGCGTTCAGACCGGAAAGGTAAGAACTCTCCGATGTTCCACCTTCATAAGTTAATCAGTACCGGAAAATTCCGTTCCGATGTTTCGCTGGCATGGTGCGCTTTAAGTCAGATGACGCGATGTGAGGTTTCTGCTTTCTTTTCATTTTTAATCCACATCGGATTCCTTGATGAGATCTGGAGGGTCGCTGAGCTGCACCTGCTGCTTTAGTGAACCCTCGCGTGAACCCTTTGCGTCAACATCTGCGGTTCTTCTCCAGGGTTTATCGTCAGCTGTACTAAACATCAATATCGACTGGGTGATTATTCGTATCAGATTTCACTCCCTCTGTCTGAAAAGTACTCAACCTACTATGTGATTCCTGGGTCAGATCCGAACCTTAATTGAGCCTGGACGTCGTTTCTGCTCTCTCCCTTTCATAAATGGTTCTCCGGCACCAAGGATCTCATCTGCTCGTGACGAGAAACGAATCCGAAGGATTCCGAAGCTAGATTGGAAATTGAATCGATCCCATGTTCTCTCCCTTCCAGATGGGTTCGCCCGCACCAGGGGGTTGAGTCTCGCCTCTTTCAACAACGTCAGCCAGGAGGATCTCCTTCTACCCCACATGAGAACCAATCTCGATGCTAGATCCGATCTGATCCAAATATTTTCCGAACCACTCTCGAACCTCTCCCGAGCCTCTGCCGAACGTCTCCCGAACTTGCAGGTGAAGTGGTTCAACAGCACCAAGGGCTTCGGGTTCATCACGCCCAACGACGGCGGCGAGGATCTGTTCGTCCACCAGACGAGCATCAAGGCGGAGGGCTTCCGCAGCCTGGAAGAGAACGAGGACGTCGAATTCACCATCGAAACCAATCCCGAGGATTGTCAAACCTAGAGTCGACCTGATTTGACCATTTTCCGAACCTCTCTCGAACCTCTCTCGAACCTCTCCCGAACCTCTCCCGAACCTGCAGGTGAAGTGGTTCAACAGCACCAAGGGCTTCGGGTTCATCACGCCCAACGACGGCGGCGAGGATCTGTTCGTCCACCAGACGAGCATCAAGGCGGAAGGCTTCCGCAGCCTCGACGAGAACGAGGACGTCGAATTCACCATCGAGACCGCCTCTGACGGCCGCACCAAGGCGATTAACGTCACCGGGCCCGGCGGCGCGTTCGTGAAGGGCGCGCCGAGGCGGGACAATTTCGGCGGCGGCGGCGGGTACGGCGGCGGCGGGTATGGCGGCGGCGGCGGCGGGTACGGCGGAGGCGGGTATGGTGGCGGAGGCTATGGGGGCGATTTCGGCGGTGGGGGAGGATATGGGGGTGCGGGCGGGTATGGCGGGGGGTATGGCGGAGGCCGTGGGGGTAGGTCCGGGGGAAGAGGCGGGGGTGGTAACTGTTACAGCTGCGGGATGCCTGGGCACATGGCGAGGGATTGCCCCCAGGGTCCGTCTGGTGGCGGAGGTGGTGGGGGAGGAGGGCGTGCCTGCTACACTTGCGGCCAGCCTGGGCATATTGCGAGGGACTGCCCCTCGGGCGGGCAGTAGTGTGATGGTGTGCTTATAACGAGGTTGGAGTAAAGGGGTGGTGCTTCTGGCTTGTGTGGTGTAGTCAGAAGGGGGTAAGCATATGTGCATTGGATAAATTCTAATGTGCTATGGGCTGGAAGGCAACAATGGGGGTTGTTGATTACTGTCAATTAGTGAATGCATGTCAATGTGTGTATTTGCTTCCACAGTAGATGGTGCTCAGCTGACTGGAGGGTCGTCTTCATTTCCTAGTGCCGCTTGTAGGGTACCTCCCAGAACCAGAATACATGACCCATTCTCTTATGCCCAGGTCTGCAGTTCAGGAGGAATATTCCCCGGTGTGCTGACTCCAGCAGGATCATACCGGTATGAGCACTGTAAGTTCGGTAAGTGCCTAACCCAAACGCAAGTGAATGGTTTTTACGGGTGCGTGCAATGGAACGAGGTAGGGAGGATTGCACTTATGGGGAAGAGTCTGAAGGTATGGGGAAAAGCATGAGCGAATACTTATATGCGAAAATGCAAACGGTAACACGGCGTGTGCTAGCTAACTAGTGCGATGCTGGCATCTAGATTCTGGCTGGCTAGTCCCAAGGCGTACCGGTATGTCAGAATCCATGCAGTGGAATCGTCAAATGTTGTAGCCTTTGGTCAAATGTTTTAGTCTTAGTGATGTGTGTCATATGGGGTACAACAGTTAGGGTTAGATTTATGTACCCCAACCAACCTTAGTGACAACACAATTCTGTTCTTAACATGGTATCACCTAGGTTCAGATCCTGTGGGATCCCGTTCCTCCCGCTCACGTTCGTAACGCCCGAGCCTGTCCCGTACCCTAGTGTTAGTCACGCTCGTACTGCTCCCTAGCGCCCGCTGCGCCTGTTGGTCGTGTCACGCCCGCTTTGCTTCCGCAATGGCGACCCCTAGGGTCCTGCGTTTTGACGCCGAGGGTAGGCCACTCGAGTTCTCGGTCTGGCTCCTGCGTGCGCGCCGCCTTTTAGAGAGTCAGGTTCAGGCAGATGAGTCTCCATGGGCGCACGCTTCCGGCGACCTTCCTAAGCCCGACGACCCCGCACCCTTAAGCGCTGACCCAAGCAGTGCAGACAGAGACAGTTATGCCTGCCAGCGTGCTGACCTGACAACGTGGAAGTCGCGTGACGCTGCGGCCTGCATCGCCCTCAGCAGCCTCCTCCCTGAGTCTGAGGAGGCCCACTTCACTCAGGTTCGCACGGCTAGTGAGTTCCTGACAGCGATCAAGGCCCGCTACGCTACTCCCACCACTGTCTCTCTTGGTCGCCTATTCCTCCCGATCCTGTTTCCTGACCTCGCCTCATTTGAGCGCTCTGCTGACTTGATCACTCACCTGTGCTCGCTCGATTCTAGCTACCGCGCTGCTTGCACTGTCGCACATCTTGCACTGCTCCCTCCCCATATGGCGATTACTATCTATTTCATTGCCACTAGCCTCCCTGACCGCCTTGCCTCAGTTCGTGACGCGCTTCACTAGTGAGCTCACTATCGAGGTCCTCAAGTCTTCCCTCAAGGACGTTGAGAGCAACCTCCGATCGGTAGCCTCCACCTCTGGTGCTGTGCCCCCTCCACTGTTTCACGGGAGCACTGTCCCTCATTTGCCCACCTTTACTGCCTCCCTCGCCACTGTCGCTACTGACGTGATCGCAGATGCTGTTACGACTTCTTCGCGGTCTAGGGGTAGGAGTGGCAGGAGGGGCGGTCAGGGTGCGGGCAAAGGTGGCGGAGGCGGCGGAGGTGGCATGGCGAGCGGTGGTGGCGGGAGTACAGAAGTTGGAAGAGCCACTCGTGCAGTGGCTAGTGACTCCCCTTCTGCAGCTGGTGGAGGTGACACTCGGGTTCGTCAGGCACCTGCTAGTTCACCAGCTGCAGGTGCTGGAGTGGCGGCTTGGTACCTGACTCAGCGGCAGCAGCAGCAGCAGCCACTCCTCTCGCAGCAGCCACAGCAGCAGGAACAGCAGCAGACTCCGTGGCAGGGGTCAGGACCGCGTGAGCCGTCACGTGGTGCCGTCCACCCTCCCTGCACCTATCTCGTTCAGACAGGTGCTCGCCGAGGCCTCCCCTGTGGCCGCACCCACCCACCGGGTCAGTGCTTTGCTCAGCTCACTGACACACTTCGTGCGGCCTACGGCGTTGGCGGCCCTGCCCCTAACTGGCTTCCCCTTGTTCAGACGTACGGCCCCACTCTGTGGGGCAAGTCGGCTTCTCAGTTGCTTGATCTCTTAGGAACTCCTCATGCTATGTATGCTGTTGTTGACTCTAGTGCTTCTGACTCTGTTTACTTGAGTGTTGTTAGCTTAGGTGCTAGTGTTGCTGAGGTGCATGTTGCTAGCGTAGGTACTTGTGTAGACACTAGTCTAGGACCTGCTCCGGAGGACACTTCGCTGTCTTTCACTCTTAACTCCGGAGCTTCGCACTGTTTCTTCCGCGTCCACACGACGCTTACTCCGCTTCTTGCACCAGTCTCTGTAGCACTGGCTGATCCCACTTTGAGACCAGTCACTGCTCGCTACATTACTACGCTTCCGTGCCCAGCTGTTCCTTCGGGTTTCCTGATGGGCTTCCACGTCCCCTCGTTCTCCAGGAACTTGGTGGGTGTGAGGCCGCTCGTGAGTAGTCACGTGGGTGTTTGGATTGAGCCTTCTGGGGAGACTGCGTTCTGTGTAGACGGTGACACGTACGCGCCTCTGGCCACCTTTACCGCTGAGTCGGGCTCTGGTCTCTACACCCTTCACACTGGCCCCCGAGGGCAGCAGCAGCAACAGCAGCAGCAGCAGCAGCGGCGGCAGCAGCAGCATCAGCAGCAGTAGCAGCGGCGGCAGCCGCAGTGACAGTAGTAGCAGCAGCCGCAGCAGCGGCAGCTGCTGCCCCCGACCCTTGTCACTGCCCCCCGTCAGGTTCCCGCGTCTCACCAGGTTGCCGTGACTCACCAGGTAGCTGTGTCTGGTCAGGTTCCCGTGTCTGGTCCAGTTGCTGCGTCTTTCTCCTGCCGGTCGCTTGCTCACCCCACCATTATGTGGCACCACCGGATGGGGCACCCGTCCATTTCTCGCCTGCGCGCTATGTCTAGTCAGTGTCTTGTCTTAGGCCTCCCGCATGTCTTGCCGTCGCTGCCGCCTTCGCTTGCACCACCTTGCGGTCCCTGCGTCGAGGGTCGGCTGCGCGCCACCCCTCACTCCTCCATTCGTCCGGCCACCGAGCCCTTCGAGACTCTCCACTTGGACGTCTGGAGCCCCGCCCCTCGCCCTGGCCCTGAGCAAGAGAGTTTCTTTTTGGTGGTCATTGACGACTACTCTCGCTACACCACAGTGTTCCCCCTAGCGAAGAAGTCTGAGGTGACTTCTACGCTGATCCGGTGGTCATTTACCACTGCGGACACTTGTGGTCGCCGTGTCAGCTGTCTTCACTCCAACCGCGGAGGTGAGTTTCGCTCCAGCATTCTTGCTGGAATCTGTCACGAGCAGGGTATGCGTCAGACCTAGACGCTTCCAGAGTCCCCACAGCAGAATGGGGTTGCTGAGCGCCGCATAGGCTTGGTCATGGAGATTGCACGCACCTCCATGATCCACGCCCGTGCGCCCCATTTTCTGTGGCCCTACGCGGTGCGGTACACCGCTCACCAGCTGAACCTCTGGCCACGTGTCTCTCGGCCAGAGGCTTCACCGACCAGTCTTTGGACCGGGTCCCCTGGTGTTGCGTCGCGTTTTCGTATCTGGGGCTGCTTGGTGCTTGTTCGTGACACCTCCCCTTGCGCCCTTCCCTGTGTCTTCCTTGGTTTCCCCAAGGACTCATCTGACTTCACCTTCTACCACCCCCCCTTCACCGGTTCTTTGACTCCTGTGACATTCGTTTTGTCTAGTCAGTCCCCTACTACACCCGGTACCCTTATCGAGGTCTCCCGGTTCCTCCTCCCCCTCTCTTCCTGACTCCCGCTCCCCCTCCTGCCCCTCCGGTACAGCCTCCCCCCCCTGGTCCAGCCCCGTCAAGTGTGTCACACGCTACCCCCCCCCCCTCGGTAGCCCCTCAGGTGCCGTCCCCTTCCCCACAGTCCTCCTCACAGCCTACTGCAGACCCTGCGGGAGCAGGTGCTCGTGTCGAGGACCCTGGGGGTGCTACCTCTGGAGGTGTTGGAGTTGGAGCTGAGACTGTGCTTGTACGAGGCCCTGGTGCTAGGGGTGCTGGAGTTGGAGCTTAGCCTGTGTCTGCAGGAGGTTCTAGTCTTCGAGGAGCTGGTGTTGGTCGAGCTGTCCCTGGGGGTGCTCGGACTGGGGGTGCGGGTGCGTCCTCTACGGGACCTGGAGAGTCTGGAACTGGCCGCATTGCTGCTGGTGGTGCTGGCTCTGGGGGTGGTGCGTCTGGTGCTTTGGAGAGCGGTCCTGGGGCTACCACCGCCCCGGAAACTACTCCTCCCCCCCACCCCTACCCGACCCGGCACCAGGCCCGTCTTCGCCTTGCACGTGAGGAGCAGCTGGAGTTGGAGCGAGAGGGGCAAGAGTTGGAGCAGCAGCAACTGGAGCTACAGCATCAGGCGCAGCAGCCGCATCTGCAGGAGCAGTTGGAGCAGCAGCAGCCGTAGCTGGAGGAGCCGCAGCCACCGCAGCAAGAGCAGCAGGAGCAGCAGTAGCAGCCGTCGTAGCAGCAGCAGCAGCCGCCACCTCCGCCTCCTGTCTTCGGCCTTCGGGCCCTCGGTCTCCCCTCTCCCTCTCCTCCTGTCTACAGTCCCACGTTTCCTCCTCCTGACCCCACCCCAGCTGTTTTCCCCCGTTCTCAGCCTCCGTTGTCCCCTCCTCAATCTCACGCTTGGACTTCTCGTTCTCCTCGTGCTCGTCCCTTGTCCCCTGTCCCTCTCACTGACCTTCGTATTGTCCTTTTCCGTCCTAGTCCGCCTCGTTCGTCTCCGTCTGTGCTTCCTTCTCCTTCTGCGTTGGCCCTCACTGCTTCCCTCTCTACTCCTGTCACTGACTACTACCCCACGTACCGACCTGTTC